CATCTCCATGACTATTTTAAAACTACCAATTTGTACTTCTTGATCATTTCCTCTTTTTCACCCACCCACCCCCCTCCCATAACCATCAAAATGTGCTCTGTATGTATGAGTTTGTTCCTGTTTTGTTTGTTCATTAATTTTGTTCTTTACATTCCATATGTAAGTTAAATCATGTGGCATTTGTCTTTCGTAGTCTGACTTACTCCACTCAGCACAATATTCTCTAGGTCTATCCATGTTGTTGCAAATGGCAACATTTTATTCTTTTTTATTGTTGAGTAATATTCTATTGTATTTATGTACCATGTCTTCTTTATCCATTCATCTATTAATGGATACCTAGGTTGCTTCCATATCTTGGCTATTGTAAATAATGCTGCAATGAACATATGGATTTACACGTCTCTTTGAAGTAGCATTTTGGGTCTCTTCAGATAAATACCCAGAAGTGGGATTACTGAATCCTTCTTTGTCTCTTGCTATAGCCTTTGTTTTAAAGTCTATTTTGTCTGGTGTAAGCATTACTACCCCAGCTTTTTCTTTTCATGAATTATCTTTTCCATCACTTTACTTTAGTCTGTGTATGTCTTTCAATCTGAAGTGTCTCTAGTAGGCAACATATATAATGGTCCTGTTTTCTTATCCATTCAACCACCCTATCTTTTTTTTTTTTTTAACTGAGCCATCCTGCCACCTGTTGGCAGCTCAGCGGCTGCTCAGCTCAGGCTGGGACTCAAACCACTGTTGCTCAGAGCTCACACTCTTGAGTGAGCTCTTAACCAACTGAGCCACTCAGCCGGCCACTCGTCCGGCCCAACCATTCTATCTTTTGATTGGAGTATTTAATCCATTTACATTTAAAGTATTGCTGATAGATAAGTAGTTATTGCCAATTTATTATTCATATTTTTAAATATTTTTTCACCTTCTTAAAAAAATTCCTCTAACATTCCTTGTAATACTGATTTAGTAGTGATGAACTCCTTTAGATTTTTTTTTTTTTTAGTCTGGGAAGCTCTTTATTTGTCCTTTGATTCTAAATGATAGCTTTGCTGGGTACAGTAATCTTGGTTGTAAGTCCTCGCTTTTCATCACTTTGAATATTTCATGCCAATCTCTTCTGGACTGCAAAGTTTTGTGGAGAAGTCAGCTGACTGTCTTATGGGAGCTCCCTTGTTGGTAACTAACTGCTTTCCTCTTGCTGATTTTAAGAGTCTCTCTTTGTGTTTAACCTTTGGCATTTTAATTGTGATGCATCTTGGTGTAGGCCTCTTTAGGTTTACCTTGTTTGGTACTCTGTGCTTCCTAGGCTTGTATGTATATCTCCTTCACCAGGTTAGGAAACATTTCAGAAATTATTTCTTCAAAAAGGTTTTCAGTTTTTGCTCTTTTTCTTCTCCTTCTGGTACACCTGTGATGCAGATATTGATACACTTGATGTTGTCCCAGAGGCCCCTCAAATAATCCTGATATTTTTGAATTCTTTTTTCTTTTTTGCTGTTCTGATTGGGTGTTTTCTGCTTTCTTATCTTCTAAATTACTAATTTAGTTCTCTACTTCATCTAATCTACTATTGATTCCCTCTAATGTGTCTTTTTATTTCAGTTATATTCTTCATTTCTGACTCGTTCTCTTTTATGTTTTCTGTCTCCATTTTTATTTTCCAATGGCTTTATTGAAGTTCTCCCTGAGATCACTGAGCATCCTTATAATCAGCGTTTTGAACCCTGCATCTGGTAGATTGTGTCTCCATTTGTTTAGTTCTTTTTCTAGAACTTTGTTCTGTTCTTTCATTCGGGATATGTTCATGTCTTCATTTTTTACTGCCTCCCTGTGTTTGTTTCTACATATTAGGTAGGGCTCCTATGTCTTCCAGTTTTAGTAAAGTGGTCTTATGTAATAGGTGTCCTGTGGGGCCCAGTGGCACAGTCTCCCTGGTCACCTGAGCCAAGTGCTCCAGGTGTGTCACTTGTGTGGGTTGTGTATGCCTTCCTGTTATAGTTGAACCTTGGTTGTTATTTGCTTGTTAATGGAAGGGATTGACTCTTAGGCTGGTTGTTTGTGACCACTGGCCATGACTGCAGGGAAGGAGCTGTTGTGCAGGGGCTGACCCTATAGAGCAGGATTCACTTTAGCACCGTTCTACCCAGTATTCCCTTTGGGTGTGTCATCCTCAGAGGGGGTTGAGTGGTGTTCCAGCATGGTCAGAAGCTGGCCACAGGGCATGCAAGCCCCACCTCAGGCCAAGTTCAGCTATAACCTGTGCCCTGCCCAGGGTCACTTAGCATGAGCTACAAAGCAATTCACAGATTGCTGCCAATCATGCTGAGCTTGGAGTTTCCTTGGAAAGACTAAGCCATGAACTGAGGCTGGCTGCCACTAGTGCCAGGCTTGGGGCTGCTCAGGAAGAAGTACAGGGCACACTGAGGCCAGATGATGCTTGCTTGGGTTTTTAGGAAAGTTCTAAGCATGAGCCAAAGCAGTGCACTTGTATGGAAAAGCCACTGGAAGAGGCTTGGTTGGGCCTGCAATTTGGGTTGGGTCATTTCTCAGAGAATCACCAGGGTTAAGAGACCAGAGTTAGCCAGGTTGATGGAAACTCAGATATGGTGGCCACCTGCATCTGCATGCTGAGTGAGGGGAGGGCTCAACAAAGGAAGCTTCTACCAACACTTCAGACCTGGAGAAAGCTGCCCCTCTAGTCCTCACCCTGGAGCCAGACAATTCAGTTTCTCCCTGTAGGTCTCTGGTCCCTTTCAAGCTGCTCCCCCAGTGCTGGAGTTCAGAACAAGTGAGCCCATGCACAGTCCCTTTAAAAGGAATACTTGAGACTCTAGCTGCATTTCATCTCCCTCAGCTACAATCTCTGCTGGTTTTCAGCCAAAAGTAGTGGGGACTTCTCTTGCTGGCACTGGAACCTGGGCTGGGTAGCTTGGTGTGGGTCTGGGACCCCTTGCTCCTCCAGGGGATCCTTTGCAGCCAAGATATTCCTCTTGATTTTTAACAATCACATGTGAGTGTGGAACCAGCCCATTCTGCATCTCCGCCCCTCTTGCCAGTATCAAGATGGCTTCCTCTGTATGTCCTTAGTTGTAGGACTTCTGTTCATCTAGACTTCAAGCTATTCTTCCTGAAACATTTTTGAACTAATAATTTATGATGAAATTCTTTATAAAAGTGATTAAATTTTTCTTTGTTTCAAAAAATGGGTAATATTAAATATAATTTAATGTTTTATTATTGGTTTGATTTTGTCATCATGAACATAGTTATTGCTTTGTTTTATATAACACAATTATGCCCTTGGGATAATCAGGAAATGATAATGGAATTGTAAGAATAATGTATAAAATGGGATAAATTTTAAATCTTGCCACATCTGTTTTGCTTGCTTAAAGATTTATTTTTCATGTATTTTGGTTCTCAGTTATATCCTAGATGTTGAGGTTACCAGTAAACACTTCATGATAAGTTTTGGGTAACAGAACTTATTCAATAATGTAGAATATTTAAAAAAATTTTTCTTGACTGCAAATTTGATATTCAACTGACAATTACTAACAAAAGGTTCATAGAAGACAACAAAAAAAATCTGTTTCCAGAAAAAAGCTCTCCTCACCAAAACAAAAGGAGGCATATTTCCTGTGTGTTGGGCCAAAAGAGGTGGATCACTGCTCTTTCTTCCAATTGGGAAAACATAAAAAATTCGAGTTATCTAAGATCATATTATTTTCAGATAGTATTTTTTTTAAGATTTTTTATTGGGAAATTGGGGGAGGTGAACAGCACTGGGGAATCAGGGAAGGGGAACAGACAAGTTGCTGTCCTTTTGTTCTTCAGTCTAGTTGTGGAGAATGTTGCCTCATTGGCCCATGTTGGTATTATTATTGCGCTCTTCCTGGGTGAGGCAGATTGGTCGCTGGCCTCTGGACTGCCACTCACAGTGGCTCTTGGCAGCTCATGCTGGCTGCCGGCTGCTCACGCTGGCTGCCGGCTGCTCACGCTGGCTGCCTGCCACCCACGGTAGCTTATGGCAGCCCACTGCAGCAGGGGCTGCAGCCTACGCCGTCGCTGGCAACTCATGGCAACCCAGCTCCAGGTCGAGCCATTGTTCACCATCTTAGCTGTAGAGGGCACAGCGTTAATGGCCCACATGTGGGATCCGAACCAGGGTCCTGCTGCTCAGAGCTGTTGTCCCAAGCCAGCTCTTAACCAACGCACCACTCGGCCGGCCCCAGATAGTATTTTGAGTTGCATGTCTCATACATGGAAAAAGTCATGGAAGAAAATTCAAGGCAGCATTAAAGCCCTGAAAAACAAGTAAAAAAACGTTTCTAATGCTAAGTATTATAGGAAAATAGTTGTCTACAAAAATTCCTCTTTTCCACTTATTGGAATATACCAGAGGTAGTAATAGAAAATGTGATTACTGCTCAAGAAACAACAGAGGAATAGTTAATAAATTATAGAGTAATGGACTCTAGTATAAATTTAAATCTTGATTCTCCTAATTATTAGCATATAACTTTAGGCAAGTTCTTTACTACTTCAGTTTCCTTATCTGTAAAACAAGGTTCATAATAACATACTATTTTTGCTGTGTGGATTAAATGAGTTAAAATATTTATGCATTTTTAATAGCCTCAGGAATATAATAAGTAACAAAAATTGCTGTAATTATTTGCTACCTATTGTAGCGGCTACAAAATAATAAAAATAAGTAAAAATACTTATTTTTATAGTGAAAATATTAGTAATATTTTGGAAATTGAGCAAATTATTGAACAATTGAAGAAGTGATTTATGGTTTTTTTTTAAACAAAAATTTGTCTGGCCTACTATGTGCCAGACACTTTGCTAGTGAAGGTTAACTGCTGGAAAATATTATCTGGAAAAATTACAGACTCATGCTTGAGAAATCTTTTGCAGAAACTGTTGAAGTGACAAATATCTGGTCCTTCCAGAACAGGTTTGATTTTAAGTTTGTTTTCATCTTTCAGGGGAGCAATCATGTGAACAACTTTATGTTAGGAGACAGTCCATGAACGTCTCAGCAGGGGATACACTTCAACTGGAATGCCCTGTGGGACTCTGTGTTAACAAATCTAATGTGGCCTGGTGCAAGTTCAAAGATCAAAGGTGTTTATATCTTGGGGATAGACATCGGGGACACATGAATTGGGAATATATGAAGAACGTTTCAGTTTTTATTCTGCATTTTGATCAAGTGCTGGCTAGTGACAATGGATCATACCGTTGTTCTTTGAATACTTCATCTGGACTCCGTGAAAGCCATTTAATAACCGTTTATGTGACAGGTGAGTTCTAGACACCAAGACTATCTAATGTTTTTCTCATTATGTTTCAAGGAAAAGGAGAACCCAGTTTCTCAAGTACTTATGTTAGACTCTGGACTTATATAAAACATTAGAACACTGCCACACCTCACAAACTGTGACACATGTACATGTATGTGTGAGTGTATGTGTATGTATGTTCTGAGATGAGTGAATTAGAGAAGAGTGGAGAAAAATCTAATGAAAGTTATTGTTTATGCCTTTAGGGGGTATAAAATTTATTTGATAAGTCCAAAAGTAGATCACTGAAATGTGGGAAAAATTACAAAATTAATACCAATAGTAGTAGATAGCATTCTATTCTCTGTCCTTGTTTTCTTTTTCTTTTTTTTCTTCCATTTCTCTGTCCTTGACTTTTAGTGATAATAATTCCTTGAAGTTATGTTCTTAGTGTTCAGAAAATTATACACTTGTTAATTGTTCATATTTTGCACAGAGGCAAACAAAACACAAATAACCTGACTCTCTGATGAGTTTTGGGAATATTCATAGACTTAGCTGCCTCCTCATACCCTCTCCAGAGGACTTCAATAGACTCAAACAGCAAAGCAAACACAGGTTGACGTTAAGTTGGGCAAAACCAAGTTAAATGAAACATGGAAAAGGAAAGAGTGGAGTAGGGGAGAAAAAGAAAATATTTGGTTTATGAAAATTCCAAAGCTAATATACTCAATGGTGAAAGATTGAAAGTTTTCCCTCTAAGAACAGGAACAAAACAGGGATGTCTGCTTTTGCCACTTCTATTCAACACTGAACTGGAGGTTCTAGCCAGAGCAATTAGGAAAGAAAAAAAAAACATCTAAATTGTAAAGGAACAAGTAAAAATCTCTATTCACAGATGAAATGATCTTATGTAGAGAAAGTTCACAACAATTACTTGAGCTAATAAATGAATTCAACAAGTTGTATGATAAAAAGAAAAATCAGTAATATTTTTATACAGTCCCATTCATTTACTTTTTCTTACTGCCTTTGAGGTCAAATTCATAAAATCCTCTCTAAGACCAAGGTCTGTAAGTTTAACAACTTTGTTTTCTTCTATGCAATGTATCACTTCGTTCTTATGTTTAGGTCTTTGACACGTTTTGAGTTAATTTTGGTGTATGGTGACAGCAGTCTAATTTTATTCTTTTGCATATGGCTTTCCAAATTTCCCAGCACCATTTATTGAAGAAGCTTTCTTTTCTCCATTGTGTTTTGGCTTCTTCATAAAAAAATTATTTGCCCATCTATATGTGGGCTTATTTTTGGGTTCTCAATTCTGTTCCATTGTCAGTACCGCTGTTTTGATTATTGTCATTTTGTAGTATAATTTGAAGTCAGTGTATGTGATACCTCCTGCTTTGTTCCTTTTTCTCAGGATTGCTTTGGCTATTCAGGATCTTTAGTGATTCCATGCAAATCTGATGATTTTTTTTTCTATTTCTTTTCAAAATGTGTCATTGGGATTTTGATCAAGATTGCATTAAATCTGTATATTGCCAAAACGCTCTGTATAGCAAAAGAAACCATCAACAAATCAAAGGGGCAACAAAAAAAATGGGAGAAGATACTTGCAAATAAAACCTCCAATAAGGAGTGAATATCCAAAATATAAAAAGAACTTAACTTATACAACTCAACAACAAAAACAAACAAACAATCTAATTAAAAAATGGGCAGAAGGGGTAGCCAGTTAGCTCAGGTGGTTACAGTGCAGGCTCATAACACCAAGGTTGCTCGTTAAATTCCCACATGGGCCAAGGAGCTGCACCCTCCACAACTAGATTGAAACAACTACTTGACTTGGAGCTGATGGGTCCTGGAAAAACACACTGTTCCCCAATAAAATTTCTTAAAAACAAACAAACAAAAAATGGGCAGAAGATCTGAACAGATACTTCTCCCAAGAAGACATACAAAAACCAGTAGATATATAAAAAGATGCTCAACTTCACTAGCTATTGGGGAAATGCAAATCAAAACCACAATGAGATATCACCTCATACTTATTAGAATGGCTATTATCAACAAGGCAAGTAACATCAAATGTTGTGGAGAAAAAGGAACCCTCATACACTGCTAGTGAGAAGGTGAATTGGTGCAGCCACTAAGAAAACAGTAGGAGATTCCTCAAATAATTAAGAATAAAATTATCATATGATCTAGTAATCCCTTTTCTGGGTATCTACCCCAAAATCTGAAAATATTTATCTGTAAAGACACATGTAACCCTACGTTCATTGCAGCATTACTCACCGTGGTCAAGACATGAAAACAACTAAAGTGTCATTGAATAAAGAAAATGTGGTACATATATACAAAGGAATATTACTAGGCTATAGGAAAAGATGAAATACTACCATTTGCAACAACATGAATGGATCTTGAGATTATCATGCTAAGAGAAATAAGTCAGACAGAAAAAGCCAAGAACATATGATTTCACTCATATGTGGGATATAAAACTGAAAGCAACAAATGAACAAGGCAAACAAACAAAAACTCATAGACACAGACCATAATTTAGTGATTACCAGAGGGTAAGTGGGGGATGGGAGAGATAGAAGAGGGTAAAAGCGTTCAATATTGAAGGAGAACTGACTCTGGGTGGTGGACACACAATGCGATATATAGATGATGTATTATAGAATTGTACACTTGAAACCTATATAATTTTATTAACCAACATCATGCCAATAAAGTTAATGAAATAAATAAATAAAACAATAAAAATCAGTAATATTTCTATACACTAATAATGAACTAGCAATCTGAAAAGGAAATTAACAAAACAATTCCATTTAGAATAGCATCAAAAAGAATAAATTAGGAATAAATTTAACCTAGGAGGTGCAAACTTATACACTGAAAAAAACATGGCTGAAAGTAATTAAAGATGTAAATAAATAGAAAGACATCCCATGTTCATAGATTAAAAGATTTAACACTGTTAAAATGGCAATAGTTCCCAAAGTAATCTACAGAGTCAACGTAATCTCTATCAAAATCCCTTTTATTTGCAGAAATGGAAAAGCTGATTCTCAAAGTCATGGAATTGCAATTAGCCCAGAATAGACAAAAAAAATCTTGAAAAAGGAGAGCCATATTGGAAGACTCAACACTTTCCTATTTCAAATCTTATTACAAAACTACAGTAATAAAAACTGTGGTGCTGGCATAAGGGTAAGTACATAGATCAATGGAATAGAATTGAGGATCCAGAATAATCCATACATCCTTGGTCAATTGATTTTTATAAGAATGTCAAACCATTCAATAGGAAAAGAATAATTTCTTCAATAAATGATACTGGGACAATTGGATATCCACATGCAAAAGAATTATTGGTGTCTCTACCTCACACAACAACAACAACAAAAGTAAAAATGGGTCTTATTTAAATACAAGAGCTAAAACTATAAAACCTATGTTTATATAAAACTATATATGTTTCTTTAGAAGACAATATAGAGCAAATTTTCATGATCTTGGATTTGTCAATGGTTTTTTAGATTGATATCAAAAGCATAAGCAACAAAAGAAAAAATAGATAACTCGTACTTTATCAAAACTGGAAACTTTTCTGCACCAAAAGACACTATTAAGAAAGTGAAAAGATAACATACAGAATGTGAGACAACATTTGCAAATCATATATCTGATCAGGGACAAGTGCCCAGAATATATAAAGAATTCTTACAACTCAACAACAAACAGACAATCAATTTTTTTAAATAGGCAAAAGATTTGAATAGACATTTCTTCAAAGAAGATATGTACAAGTAAATAGCCAGTAGCACGTGAAAAATGCTCAGTGTCAGTAGGCATCAGGGAAATGCAAATCAAAACTATGATGATACCACTTCACAGCCACTAGGATGACTAGAATTAAAAAGCATAGAAAAATAACTGCTGACAAGGGTGTGAACAAATTAAAACCCTTATACATTGTCAGTGGAAACGTAAAATGGCGTGACTGCTTTGGAAAACAGTCTGGCGGGTCTTGAAAAGGTTAAACAGAGTTGCCACAGACACAGCAATTCCATTCTTAGGTAATTACTCAAGTGAAATGAAAATATATGTCCATAAAAGATTTGTACATGAATATTTATAGCAGCACTAGTCACAACCCAAAAAATGGAAACAATCCAAATGTCCATCAACTGATAAATGGATAAAGGCAACGTGGTAAATCATACAATGGAATATTATTCTATTATTCTGTCAAGAAGGAATGACGTGCTAACACATTCTAGAACATAGATGGGCCTCAAAAACACTATGCTAAATAAAAGAAGGCAGATACAAAAGATCACATATTGCATGATTCTGTTTATATGAAATACCTAGAATAGGTAAATCCATAGAGTAGAAAGTGATGAATGATTGCCAGGGACTGGGAGAAAGGGAGAATGGGGAGTGATAACTTAATGGGTATGCGGCTTCGTTTTGGGGTGATGAAAATGTTCTAAAACTTGATGGTGGTGATGGTTGCACAACACTGTGAATGTCTTGAACACCACTGAATTGTTATATCACTTTAAATGATTAAAATAGTAATTTTTACTTTATATGTATTTTAATACTTAAAATATATTTGTATCAAAGAATATTACCCTTTAATTATAAGAAAGGAGATAGTTTCTTTTGTAGGCCATACACTGACGTTGAAGGTTATTGCAAAAGAGAAATTTCAAAATGTGTGGTACATGTCTGAAATCTACAGGCAGTCTCATGCAGTTACTGCTACAGCTACCATTCATTTGACTGCTTAAATTGTGAGTGTGTGTGTGTGTGTGTGTGTGTGTGTGTGTGTGTGTTTAATTAATTTGTTACTTTACATGCACACTTTAGAGTCAGTCTTTAAATTCTCTTAAAGTAGTCCAATGAAGGAATTCACTTAAATTTCTCTACAATTCTTCAAATCACTTTTAAATTCCTTCAAGCAAGCCAATGAGGGAATGCACAGTATTCTGGTGTTAACTCAGCCCTCTGGTATGAAGCACAGAACTATAGAAGGAATTTATGGTAGAGCTGGAGATTCTGCTTTGCAAATTCGGGATCAAATTCAATGCTGGTTGCCTATGATCATCTGTGCACTGGTTTATAAACCTTCTTAGAAAGGAGGCTGTGTCTTAAACAACTTTGCTTCTCTACAAATAGATGGCATAGTGTCTGGCACATAGTGGGTGCTCAATAAAGATTTCTTTGTAAATGAATTAAATAACATAATATATGCGAAGTAAAAAAATTGCCTTTAACAACTTGGAGAAGGGTACATTGAGGATGTATGGAATGAATGCTTTCTGGAAAGAACTGCATTATTAATTCACATAATGAGATAAAATATTGAGCTTTTGAAGAAATAAGGATATCTTTTTATCTGGCAAAATAAATTATAAAATAGGCAAAACTTGCAAAAACATTATTTCCAGGACAATATTAATTATACTATTAAATATAAAATAATCAAGTACTACTAGGTAATTTATATAACATGTTGTAATATAATGTATAATTAAATTAAATGTAGTGACATCAAATTCATCTCCCTTGGAAGAGAGTCCTCTTGTGTAATTCAGCCTTTCTTCATGGGAACAAACCCACTTCTGTATAAGAGGGAGGAATTTAGTCAAATGACTTCCCACATTTGTGTGCTTCCATGACCACTACAGATGGTTGTACAGTTTGTAAAATGCCTGTTTTAAGGATCAAGTTGAGGCTGAAATTCAGATTAATAATCTGTCTCCCTTGTGGAGAGGGGAGGGGTAGGGGGGCTAACTTCAGTGGAAAGAGAGGCAGCAGTCCCTCTTAAACCCTGTGCCTGGAGGGGATGTGCTTATTAAACTCAGACTGGGACAAAGGGTGTGAAGGATTAAGTGGTGAAGGAAAGTCTAAGAACTGAGTAGGAGATATTAAGGGCATTTTAATGATGATTTCTACTCTCCCAATTTCCTACTTTCCTTCCTTTGTTGTCACTCCCTTTCTTATTGCTTTGTTAATTAACATTCCTGACCTCCACTGGGAATTCCCCAGGGTTTTGCTTTGGCCTTCTACTCATCTGTCAGTAACTTCTCACTGTGATTTGTTCCCTCCTACAGCTTTTGTGAGCTTCTCAGGCCTATTTATCTTCCTTCTAAATCAGCAGTTCTCAACCTGTGGGTCACGACCCCTTTGGGGGTCGAAAGACCCTTTCACAGGGGTCACCTAAGACCATCAGAAAACAAAAAGATATTTACATTATGATTCACAACAGTAGCAAAATTACAGTTATAGAGTAGCAACGAAAATAGTTTCATGGTCGGGGGTCACCACAACATGAGGAACTGTATTAAGGGGTCGCGGCATTAGGAAGGTTGAGAACCGCTGGTCTAAATGATACAATTAATTGTATGGACTCCTTGTCGTTAGTGTTTTGCAATTCTGGTCCATTTCAGCCCAAAACTCTTCCTGATACACTTAATTTTCCTAATAGGCTTCATTTGTAATGTCACTCTTTTATTGAGTCTCCTGCAGAGCACCTCCAGTGCTTATAACATTAGACTCATGTTTGTTAACCAGCATTCAAGGCCTTCCATAGTCCTTCTCCACCTACCTTTCTGGATTGTTTCTGGATTCCACATAGAAACTCTCACCTCCAGCCAAACAGCCCTACTTGCCATTGCCATGTCTTCACCACGGTCCTTCTTATGCTGTTCTCTCCACTCATGAGGCACTCATTCATCTGCCTACACCTATCAAAATTCTACCCCTCCTGTCGAGCCAAGCTCACTTCCCAAGTTCTTAGTGAAAACTTCCATGTTCACCCTTGGGGAAGTGATTTCTCTTTTTTAGAAATTTTTATGCCACTTAAGTTCTGTGCCTCTCAATTACCACACAGTTCCTTGTACTGTACTAATGTATGGAAATGTCTTTATTCCCATCAAGGATTATACTGTCCTGGGAAGCAGGAACTGTGTAGTATTGGGTTGTTAGAAAAGTCATGACGTATTTTTTCTGTTTTTCATTGCAAAAATGCGTCATGACTTTCCTGACAGCACAATAGTTCTCCGTGTTATCTCTGCTTCCCTCACAAAAGTAAAAAGAGTTGTTTAGGAATTGGCTTTGAACTGGGTGTGGATTTTCCTTTCATGAAGTGATGAAAACGAACAACAGGGAAAGGGTCACAGAAAAATTCCTTCTCTTTCATTCCTGGAAATGCTCAGTGAACTAAGAATGAGGTGAAGAGAAAATACCTTTAAATATAGAAATTATATTTAAAGACTATGCTTTTTTGTAAATACATTTTGGAAGTATGATAAAAAAATATTTCATTTTCTCCCTTTGAAATATCTTTGTTAGGGGCTATTGGAATTTTCCTACTTTTGTGTCTGACTCTCATTAGCTCTTTACATTCAAGTTAAGAATTGCTCTATGTAAGAACAGGGATGTAGGGCATGGATACTGTTAAGAAATGAAAATATGCACTTTGCAAAGCAAAGTCCCAGAGGAAAAGCTGACTGAACTGGGAAAGAGTCACTGGAACATACAATGGCCTGCAATTCCGTCTTTCCCAACCTGCCCTTGGTCAGTTCCTGATTTGAAAGTTCACAAAGACAAATGGTCATTGTTTTAGCAGGAAAGTGACGGTGGTACAAGTAGGCAGGAAGTGAGAGACACAGCCTTCGGTTTCAGAATGAGTACCCAGAATATCATCGAAAGCATCCTTTCGTTTTGGCCTTTCACACCCACCTGGAATGTGTGTCTTGTTATTTTAGGTACAAGAAGATGTCATACAGGCTATATTGTGTCCTTATGCTTTAGGAATAGGAAAGAGGGAACTGAAGCAGACAGATGAAGTCTGTGTTGTGTTTACACAATCTTTTGTGAGCCTCAGAATAAATCCAGGAATTTATTTTGTGCCCATGATCTCCAAGTTATCTACAAATCACACAAATTGTCTTTTGCTGGATAATTGGATTATCGTTTAAGTGCAAATGCAGGAGTCCTCTCAGTACTAGCTCTGATTTTTGACATAACCACATGCATGCTTGCATTATTTTCACAACGAAATTCAATATTTATCCATGTTTTTCTATTTCAGAACGCACTCAGAATTATTCAGAACGTCCTCTAATAAGTAAGTATCAAGTTAGTCAAATAAAATTAAAGAAACTAGATTGTTTGATGGTTGGAGAAATAGTAAAAGTTGGATCTCCTTAATTGAGTGGGTTTGTTTGTATTAGGATATTTATTGTGGGAAATTTAGTTCCTATTCCCATCCATACCCCTCCCCCAAACAGCTGTGTCTGTCACCCTTGGTAATGACTTGGCTGCTTGCCCAATCTAAAGAGCAGCTGCAGCATGAATAACACTATGTGTTACTACTCTGAGTTTCCAAACCACTTTATGCCCAGCTCCAGCAGCTCCTGATCACCTTCACCTAAACATGAAGCATATGGGGAAGCTAATAGATAACTATGTTAATATATTTAGAAATAAAGCTTTGCTACATAAAAAAAAATTTTAACACCAGCACAAATTAAAGATATATGATGCATTCTGATAGTTTCTATTCTGTATTGTTTCATTTTTTGATGTTATTTGTGATCTATTAAATTGTTTCATGAACCACAAATAAGTTGCAACCTACATTGGACAAACAGGGCCTTAACGCATGTTAACATTGATCAAAAGTAATGAGCATCAGCTATATGTCCAGCAAGTCATATTTGGAGATACCAAAAATATCTGGAATTATCAAAAATATTTGGTATTTGGAGATACCAAAGAGTTATGAGACAATGAAAAGACACTGTGTTAAATGAATTTGAATTTAGTATCAGAAACAGGTTGGCTTAAGTCTGAACTGCCACTCACTAGCTGTCTGATCTTGGGCAAGTCTTGGAACAATAATACTCCTGTCAAGGCATGGGACTAGATAAAAATAGTGGCTTCCTTACTTTTCTTAAGTGATGAATATGAACGTTAAATAAGACAATGTAAGTGAAAGGGCTTGGTGAAGTGCTTTCTGAGAGCTTTATGGATATTGTTTCACAGGGGATTAACCCTAGCAGAGTAAGAATTTTTGGAAAAGATAAATAAAAACCCAGAGCCACCCACACACGTTCAGCTATAAAGCAAGAGGTGGTGAGAGTATTGAGACCTGGGGTTCTTAGGGAAAGCCTACTGGAAGGGAAATGGAGGCATTATCTGGAAATCTCCTTCGTTCAAGTTCTAACAACATAGAGGGTATTGTGGATCCTAATATATCTCAGATTTCCTAATTGTCTTTAGCATTGATTAACATTTCAGATACAACCAGTGCCCCAGGACCAGCCCCCATAGAAGATATGGGGGACAGACGATGGATCCTTTATAGTTTGCCTCCTTTGGTAGGATTGCCTCTACTCATTACCTGTTGCTGCCTATTCTGCTATCTGAGAAGGTACCAAGGTGGGTTCCGTCTTCCCTCTGCTGCTCCGTGCCACACATTTGGGTTCAATTACTAGGATTGATATATGTATAGTTGGTTCCTGTTGTTTCTTTCCCAATATTCTGCAATAAACCATGGATAACGATTTCCTGGGGGGTAACTCATCCTTCTACCAAAAAGCCAAATGGATTAATTCAGGTTTGTGCTAGTCATTATGAGGCATGCTCAACACAACACAGTGCATCAGCCAACACTTTGGTAAGGAAGAGGACATTACTGGTGCATACTCATTCTGCTTGCATCAATCTTAGGCTTGGGTAAAAAGCTCTTCTAAATTTTAAGGGTGTTGAAAGGGAGGTTGAAACAATCTCACAGATCAACATGTCTGATTAGTTTGTCTCATTCTCTTTTTCACAGCAACACCATGCCCATCATACATACCATTGTTTAAAGGAAGATCCAGTGTCCTCAGAGGAAATTCATATGCTTGTACTTTCTGTTGCCATTTCAAACACATGCTTAAACTGAACCCTCACCCAACAATAGTGCATTTGAAAATTGTGGGGTTTGCTGTGATGGGTGAAGGGTGATATTTTAAAAACAATTTCCTTCTGCTTTTGTAAGAGTTCCCTCAATGTTTTGAGGGAATATTTAAACACAATAAGAGACAGATGTTTGGAGAAATGATCTAGCTCTGGTCTAAACCACCTCAATTTTTTTTCTCTCGCTTCCTCTTTCTTTCTTCACCCATCCCTTTTCCCACAACAGTAGCCACATTGTAGCTATAAAAACTAAGCTAAACAGAGAAACTCTTATTTTTGCCATGAGAGAAATCTTTGTCTAGGGCAAAACTGCTTCTGGTGTTTTGTGGTGAGAACTTCCAGAACCCAGAAACTTCTCAGAATACTGAGGGAATCTTCTGTAACCTCAGCTCCACATCTGCAACGCCAAGGATCTTTCCATGGTTTCTCTCCAGATTTCATCACCTTTCCCTGTGGCTGTTGGAACTTCTCTCAGAATGTCAGAAAGAGAGTCAGGGATACATCCTTGGATTTACCACATCCAAGGTGAACTGGGCAGTAGGAGAGCCTGGCTATGTAGGTGACAGGGCAGCAGTGTGTAGGTGACAGGGCAGCAGTGTGTCTGGCACTGAGTATAGCATGTCCCCAAAACAAGGAATTCCAGCCTTTTTCAAGTGATGTGCTTGATCCTGCTCTAACCCCTTGAATACGTCAGAGGGCTCTCTGGAGAGAGATGTGAAGAACCAGTGAACAAAACAGGCAGCATGAATTCTCACAAACTGATGTGCATGTGCCACGCTAGTCACAGCGGAAAACAAGCCGAAACTAATAATAACTGTCACTGGCATGCAAGTGGGTGGGAATGAGTGGAGGGACATTCCACTTCTGCTCTAGGGACTGAATTTCAACCTAGCAATATGGCTCCAGAATCCATATCCTTACCACAACCGTAATTTACAGCGACTTGGAGAAGAATTTTGTGTTGTCCTTTACTCCCTTTGGGTTTCTTATTTTTCTTTTTGAATTCCAGGGGAACAAAAGAAGCCTTCTGATACAGAAGAAAGGGAAATTAATCTGGTATGTTCAATGGATCTGTTAAAACAGATGCAATCTATGCTATGTCACTATTTATATATTGTTTTAAATCTAAGTCTATGTAATACTTACCATGTGCCAGGCACTGCTCTAGGTGCTATATATATTGACTTATTTTAAAAATGTGTTTATTTTACATTTGCCTCCATCTGCAGCAAAGATTCTTCAGGATTAACAAGTCTCAAAATAAGCGGTCATTTGGTAGAGCAAGGGTGGCAGTGTAGACTCTGTGCAAAAAACCCAGACTAAGCCGCATAACCTTGGCACTGCTCTTGTCCTGTTATATAGTAACTTCAGGCTATTCATTTATTCTCACAAAAATACCTTACAGTCTTTCTGGGAGACAGTTGAGAATTAATGAAAGAATGAACCATAAATAACCATAAAATGGGGTGTGAATCACACAAGCAGATAAAGAAGCATGATCACAGATCTAGTTACTATGCAACAGTGCCTCATAACGTGTGTGGGCTCATCAAGACCTCCCAAAGGAAAGAGTGTTTTGGAGGCAGTGCCAAGTTTTCTTACATATTCTTGGGATATAACCTCAGGCCTTGCTTTTGATTTCCTTAATGTCTGAATATTGGGACTCAAAAACAAATACAAGATGAGGCAATATGTTTCTGAAAACAATTTTATGAAACTCCTGTTAAAAACAAATGCTGTAGTCATAAATGAGGCACTGTAAGGGAACATGTGTGTGTGTGTTTCAGTAAACCAGAATCAAGATAAAGATGTTTGAGAGTTTCAGAAATGCCAGACAGATATAGCCAATAATTCTACATATAATATTAAATGGCACCCAGCATTCCCCACCAGTTGCCTAATTTTAAATGAAGTCAAATACATTCAACTTAGTAAGTTTTTAGTAAGCATCAGTAGGCATCATTGTGATGTGTACTAAGGTTTTGTTTCTTCAAGTAGGGAGGTTTTCTTAAGTATTATTTCCATTCTTCCTATAGTGAAGAATAACAGCAAACTACATACTGTTACAACTGGCCTGGAAGCTATGAAGCTATTAAAAACAATAATCTAAATAATTTACTGAGCAAGTAAAGCCCAGGTTGGTTAAAATATAGACATATTTCTTCCTGTATAAGCTGGACAAATTATTTATGTTTTGAACTTGAATTCAAGAGAAGTTTTTCTGTGTAAGCAATCATTTGGAAATTTTGTTTTAAGGTGTTCATGTCTTTCACAAAAATTCAGTTTTGAATTGTCAAACATTTCAGAAAATAATCAAAGAGATGCCATATTAGGTCTTTGAGACTAAAGATTTCTTGAGAACTTATATGAGAACCATGGAATAGAAATTCAAAGTAGAGAAAAAAACTGCTAAAAGCATAAAAGCCAAGGTTGTCACCTTATTCCATCTTGGTCCTTTGAGAGTACAAAAGTGTTTGTATACGAAAAACCACCGAATTGTACACTTAAAAAAGTGAATTTTAAGGTATGCAAATTATACCTCAATACATATATTTTTTTAAAGTGCTTTGTAAACTGTAAAGTGCCAGAACAACATAGAGTAGGTTAGCTGCTTTGGTGTTTGTCATCTCTACCCACCATAGCACCATACACTGGGCTTGTGACACCTACCCACTTTGATGAGGTGCCCATAGGATAGGTTCAGCCACAGAGCATCCATAGGATAGGTTCAGCCACAGAGCATCATATTTTCTTTTACCCCATTCATTCTAACACAGCTTTCCGTGGAGACAAGCCGTCTTTTGGGAAGGAGCCCGGTAACCGAGCTGGCAGACTTACACTAATTGAATAGTATGCAGGGACCTTGTTGATCTATTGAGGATTTATGGCTACTAATTGGGTCACATGACAGTGTTCTTCAGTGCTCCTCCAGAGACTTTAACCAGGCTCCTTTTAGCAGAGGTTGGGGCACTGTCCAGCTGAGCCAAGAGACAGGGAAGCTTAAAGCCTGTCTCAGTCACCCAGCCTTAGTGTTCTTTCCTGGGAAGTCACTTCATCAGAGGGAGGCAGTAAAGTCAGCAGCTGACACCTCATTTCTCAGGATAGGGCCAGACATTCTGTGTGGCAGACCTCTGCTAAGAAGGAGTTCACATACCACTGCACACATCACAATAACAACAGCAAAGGACCGGGGAAGGCATGTAGGCAATCAAAGACTGGACCTGATCACTCAAAGGAGTTAGGCCTAACTTTGAGAACATACATTGGCAAATCTGGAATTTAAAAAACTGAAATGACAACCCTTAACATGAAAACAACATCCCCATTTTTACCAGCTGGGTCCCCATGTATAGCTAGGAATTGTAAACAAGTAACTGGAAAGAGTGACAAACATCAGGACCCATTTTACTTTTAGTTTCCATAAGTTTACCTTTTTTTTCAGAAGCTTTAAGATATTTGATTCCATTTAGAAGCGTAAGAAATTTTTTGTGATAGAAATAATAATCAGCATATTTTTAAACTTTTTCTAAGCTTTTGCCTCATCCCCCACCCCACCCCACCTCGCACCTCCCCCAAAAAAGGACAGCAATTTTTCAACTCCAGGTCTCAGGTCACAATATATCTTAAATAGCTCATAATATTTATTCTTTCTGTCCTCTTAGGGAATATCTGTTCTGCTTTATCTTTAAAGTTTTTTTTCTAAACTGTGTTAAGACTATCCAGTACGTAGTAAGCCGCCTGAAGTTCTTGTGGGATAGTTGATGCTTTTCTCAAAAACCTGGGCTGTGCTTTTCATCTTGAAGAGGAATGGAAAGTTTTCTGTGACCTCAAAAATGATCAGTAATAAAGCACAAAATAACTAATATAAAGCATTAAAAAGTGGATGTCAACAGCATAAGAGGAAGAGTAGATTGTTTCTCTCCACATATAATGACTCAATTTAGCCTACACTCATAGTTTGCTAATGAACATGCATTGTCACATCTTTAAATGGTAATTAAAGCAATCTTTTCTTCTCTTGTAGGTTGATGTTCCTCAGCCCTTTCAGAGTCAGCAAATTGAAGTGGGCACCAGGCAAAATTCCCAAACACTATCATTAGAAAGTAAAATTTATGATAATGACCCCTGGTTCGGGGTCCAGGAAGAGTGTGGGGTTTATTCTAGCCCCTGTCATGAGGAAAACAAACAGGGCATTGTTTATGCTTCGCTGAACCACTCCGTCATTGGAATGAACCCAAGACAGGCAAGAAATGAGGAAGAAGCCCCTACAGAATATGCTGCCATATGTGTGAGGAGTTAAATCGACCTGCTCTCTCACCAGTGATCATTGGATGATCAGCATATCAGCACCATTATCTGAAATGAACAGAATGTCAAATAGTATCTCTTGACCTGAGAAGTTTCACTTTAAGGAGGTTCATGTTGGTGCTTGGGTCTTAAGGGTCCATAAAACAAATAACTAAGGTATCTCCCAGAAACTTCTTTGGGAGACTTTTATATTATAGCCATGAACAACAAAACCTTCTCTCCAAAACTGAGTGCTATCACCAATAGCAGAGTAGTAGACTATTTAAACTTAGCTACATTTTATCCAACATACAAACTCAGTATTTTCTTTGGGGCCACCAGAAACACATGTAGGAAAGAGCGGTGTGTGTTTCCGGATCAGTTCACTACACACACTTGATAAAGAATGTCCCCTTTCGACTAAGTAACCATAAATACAGTAATGATAGCATGTTTCTTTCCAGTCAATCTTTGATAATAAGAAATTTTCCTCTGTCAATCTAATATGGGGGTTTCTTAAATGTAAAGGAGAGATAATTTTAGAATTGATGATATAAGACAAGAATGGAAAGAATAAATCGTGCAATAAAGACGTGGAATATGCTAACTGGGTGTGGGTAGATGTTCCTCATGCCTGACAAACAAATGCTTGTATCTGCCCTGTTAGACTGCTAAGCAAATATATATAGTAATGGAGCAATTAATGTACAGTACATTTATGAACAAAGTTGTGGCTCAGTGTTTGGGCTACATAGACTAATGTATATGAATTCATATAATGCTGCTGAATTAATATACGAGAGGGTGTCTGAGAAAACGTAAAAATCAGTGAGAGTAGTTATCATCAGGTAAATGCTGATTGATGGCTTAAATTGCTTTATGGTTGAGCCGATAGGAAAACAAAAGCACCATTAATGGAAAGGAGAAAAGTCCAGACTATTTTGTTGGCCAATATGGGTCAACGTACTTCCATTCACCACATCTGTATCTTGCTGTTGTTCTTACTAAAGAATCAGGGCAAATCGTACGTAATGAACGAACACACTTTGATAACCATTTGTTTTACAATACTGAGGTTGCAGCCACTTAAAAGTATAGCAATAATATATGCATTCCATTTTCTGAATTTCCAAAGTACTTGAGTCTAATTATTTTAAAAAATAGCCTACAGCTTTATTCAACAGCTTGAGGCTATTAGGTTTCTAAGGTGCTGCAACTAACTAATGCAATAAACCTCATACAATGTGGATAGCAAAGGTTAGGATCCATTTGAACAAATATATGAGCTGCTGCACACATGAATGTGGTGTGTGTGTGTGTGTGTGTGTGTGTGTGTGTGTTAGTGTATAGAAGGAAAGGGTAGGTGACTGTCAGAAACGGTGAAAGAAAACCTGACAACATTGACATACCATTTCAGTTTGCTAAAAAAACTCAAAATACTAGAGCAAATGAGCCATTCAAGAAAAGGTAAGAACATAATGTATGAAATTATGGGGATAGAAGTATGACAGCTCATAAAAGTTTTTCCCCAAAAAGACGAAACAAATTTTGTGGCAGGGCCTTTCTTATGTAACACTGGCATTAAGATTTTGCCTCTAAGATTGGGGTTGTGGATATTGTTTTAGAGTCATTGTTATCTAGCCAGTATGATATCATTATTCCTAGAATTTTGAGCAACCAGTACTAGGTTGGCTTTTTCAGCCAAGCTGCCTTTATGGGCAGCTCATGTACAAAAGCTATATTAGAGCAGCTGCTGGTGGTATTCTTAAAAATAGAAACAGGAAGTATGGGGAGGATACATTTAGCTGCCCTTATCAGATAAACACACAAAGCTGAACAGTTCCTTCAAAATTTTCTCAAATTAAACAAAACATATTTCTGTCTATTGTTGAGAATATTCTTAGCATGTCTTACAGTAAAGATAATGTTGATAATGGTTTCATCTCTGTAAATGATTTATACTTATATTTGTACAATGCAGCCAAAATCATTTATGTTTTTATTCCTTCTTAATTAAAGATGTCAGAGTTATATCTGTATTTCACAAATAAATCTATTTCAATATTGTTACCAGGAATCATGTTATACTTCGGCTCTTTGTCTTCTTGAAGGAAAGAATTCAGTCAAGAGACAGAATTTATGCAGCATAGGACAGCAAGGAGTTTATTAATAAAAGCATGTACACTCCAAGACCTGGAGCGGGCTGACCCAAGAGAGGGAAGCAGCCTCTCCTTACACTGTGTGAGGGTTTTTATCTCTGTGGATGGAATTGTCTCCCCTGCCCTGCCCCAGTACCTCTCATTCTTCCAGCTGGCGTGCTTTGTGCTCCCTTCTTGCTCCCAAGGTTGTCTGAGCTCATTGCAATGGCCCTGAGAAGCAGAGTGTATATTCTGATAAGCAGGATGGTTTCTCACTCTCTCTAGCTTCTAACAACACATCCCTTTGATTTAGGGGCATGTGTGAGCCTGGAATCCTGAATCCTGCTGGGCTAGTAATGGTGCCCTAAGTGAGGGCAGCTGTAAGGGCTCTTGATCTAAGCAGCTGTAACAAGGGGCTTTCTAACTGGGGCTAGGTCTCTCCTTTTCCTGCTCATTTCTATCTATGTACATAGCCTATCAGTATTATTTGCATGGCTTATTTCAGTAATGAAATATGAAAAAAAGAATATGTAGTTAATTTAATGATTTTCCATGAATTTTAAGCTTGTTGATTGTTATCAATAAGAAGGTAAAGTTATTAAAACTTATTTGGAATCAATTTGGTATTGGCTTTTGTACCAGCAAGTGTGTGGAAATGGAATAGAATAGTGATTTTCAAACCTTATGGCACATAAAAACAACTTGAAGAACTTGCTAAACTAGGGTTATTAACTCCCAGCACTAAGTAAGAAGTTCTGATTCAGGGGATCCAAGATAAGGCTCCACAATCTTCACCATTTAAAGACAACCCAGATAATTTTGATACAGCTTTCCTAGTGCAGAGTCTAGTTTGATATGGACATGAGACAAGAGCAAGATGCTGCTGATGCCGGACCCTGTCTACAGCAATGGCCCCAGTAAAAGGCTTTTGGAGGGGAGAGCGAGAAGAGCCTCAGAAAGGGGTCACTGTCACTGACCGTTACTCACGATCTCCCATTATCAATAACCATTTGTGGAAAATGGCCCTGACTGCTGGAAGAGGCAGGGTATTTGTGGTTCATTTCTGTCTAGAATTGGAGTGGCCATTCAGACAGTGGACCAGGGGTCTGATCTCCTGTCCTTATACCCAAACACTGTTTTTAAAAAAGGGTGTTTGTGTGAGTGTGTGTACACACACACACACACACACACACACACACACACACACACANTATATATATATATATATATATATATATATATATATATATATATATATATATATACTTTTTAAAAGAGCAGTTTTAGGGTCAGCAAAGCTGAGCAGAAAGTACAGAGAATTTCCATATACCTGCTGCCCCCACACGTGCACAGCCTCCTGCCTCATCATCAATTTCCTGTACCAGAGTGGTACGTTTGTTACAGTCAGTGAACCAACACTGATATATTATTATCACACATATACCAAAATCTATGGTTTACATTAGGATTTGCTCTTGCTGCATTTTATGAGTTTTGACAAATGTGTTGTGACATGTATCCTTTATTATAATAATAAACAGAAGGTTTCACTGCCCTAAAAATCTCCTTTGCTCCACCTATTATTTATTCTTTCCTCTCCCCAACCTCCTAGCAACCACTGATCCTTTCACTGTCTTCATAGTTTTGTTTCTTCCAGAAAGTCATACAGTTGGGACCACACAGTACGTATGCAGCCTTTTGAGATTCTTTTTAGCACTGAATAATATTCCATTGTCTGGATGTACCACAGCTTATGTATCCAATAACCTACTAAAGTACATCTTGGTTGTTTCCAAATATTGGCAATTATGACTAAAGCTGCTATAATCATTTGTGTGCCGGTTTTTGTAGCTATCATTTTTCAACCCATTTAAGCAAATACCAAGGCACATGATTATTGGATCGTATGGTGATAGTCTGTTTAGTTTTGTAAGAAACTGCCAAACTGTCTTCCAAAGTGGCTGTGCCGTTTTGCTTTTCCATCAACAGTGAATGAGGGTTCCTGTTGCTCCACATCCTCACCAGCATTTGGTGTCTTCAGTGTTTCAGTTTGTCCATTCTAATAGGTGTGCGGTGGTTTCTCATTGTCCTAATTTGCAACTTCCTAATGACATATGATGTTGATCATCTTCTCATGTGCTTATTTTCCATCTGTGTATCTTCACGGTGAGGTTTGTGTTAAGGACTTTGGCCCATTTTCTAACTGGGTTGTTTGTTTTCTTGTTGTTGAGTTTTAACAGTTCTTTGCATAGTTTGGGTAACAATCCTTTATCAAATATGTCCTTCACAAATATTTTCTCCCAGTTGTGGCTTGTCTTCTCATTCTGTTAATGGTCATATCAATTATAGCGCTGATTTGTTATGATGTTTGCTGCCACATTAGACTGCGGGCTTCTTATGGGCAAGGATAATATCCCATTCCTCTTTAGTTGTTTTGCCCAGTGCTTGGCCCATGGTAGAATTAAATAATGTTTAAGGAATGAATGATTGTGTTTCTTAAGTGAGTCGTATACTTCCTTGCTATCCAAAGGATGGCCCTCAAATGAATAGCACGGGCATCCCTTGGCAGTTGCTAGAAATGTAGAATCTCAAGCTATGCTTCTAAATAAGAATCTGCATGTACCATGCTGTGGTACACTTAGCCTTTATTACCCCAATCACCCCAGTGGGAGTTAAGTGTGGCAGGAAGCCAAGTCATTCATTTGGAAAGTTCTATTTTAGGCAGGAACAGGAAGGGCCTCACCACGCAGCCCAGAAAGTAAAAAATGGCAAGAAAGAAACATTACTACTTTACAGAATGTTTGTGCTGAACCTGTGAACACAGAAACTGAAAATTCTGTGCTAGAAATCAAGATGCAGTTTCAAAAGCAAGTTCAGGGGATTGATCTTTAAAATCAGGCCCCATTCTGAAGTTAGTCAAGGTAAACATTCCATGGGAATCACTTTATCTGTGAACAATCTATGACCACATACTCGGTACCTACAACTTTGGTAAGATCCGCGGTGACATTGTTGAGAAAGAGTCCATTCCTGCCTATCACTGTTTACCGTATCGATGAAGAGGTAAAAACTAACCAAAAAATTACTGATGGTTGAATTCTATCATGGAGATAGATGAAAAGTGCTATGAAAATTCCATAACTATGTTCTTTAGCCTATAAGGACAATGTATATTTACTTTTTTAGAATCTGTGGTCCTGAGACGTTGTTTAGGGGTTTTGAGGGAACTAATTCATCACAGCCCTCTGTCTTTACAGGCTCTTAATCATTTGAAAAATAAAAGAGCCATAATAGACAAAATATTAATAGGAAAAGTGAATTGGCAAGCATTGTTTAGGACCAAAGACAAGATTATTTCCTATCAATTCCTCCACCTAAATATTGCTTGTCTTTGGGACCCATTTATAGGAAGAGTTAAGCCTAAGGAGAGATACCCAACCAAACACGTGGGAGATGTCAGTCTGCCTAAAATCTACTTAACTGCAAATGAATGTGATGTTATGACAATTTCTTATTGCCACACCAATGTGAGAAACACTGGAGAGAGATTTGAGCTGTTCTGGACCCTGTAATATACACAAGAAGGCTTTATGTTGTCTTAGATCTGTCTGCCAAAACTGACTTAGCGATCTCAGATGAATGCTGTGAATTCTCAGTGATAAGTTCTGGGCCATCAGTAGAAGGAAGGCATTGGTACTAGGCAGGGATCTGAAACTGCATTGAAGAGGACAGTACACATGCTGATTTCAAGGGCAGATCGTGACATGGTCACCAGGGTAAGTATGTATAGGAGGATACAAAATGAGCAGGCTGTAATCAAGAGGTCAGTAATCCAAATCACAGTGACCAGAGATGAGGCGTGGGCTATAGGAAACTCACATAAGGCCCTTGAATGGACCTGGATTCTGAGCTAATTGTATTTTGAATGCAGGAGTCTCTAACCTTATTACTCAGGCCTGATCCCAGAGCAGGGTAGGAGTAAAATAGAAAGTAAGACAAATATACAAGTTATAAAGAAAACAGAAGATAAAGACCAACAGGCAGACTTGTTTGGAGAAGGGAATTGAGGTTAGAAAACTTGGAGGTTGCTAGCAACACTGATAAGAGGAGATACGGGGTCACTTTTCATCATAGCTCCATCTCCCTTTCCCGTGAGAAGCACCAGTGTGTTGGAAAAACCAACGACAAACAGTGATGAAGCCAAAGAAAGGAGAGCTCCAGAGACTCAGGAGTAAAATCACTGGACCAAAATTTCAGTAAGGGTAAGACCCATTGCTCATAAGTTTAAAAAGCACCTTGGGAAAATCAGAGGATATCCCATTTGTTAAAACCCACATGTCATACAATATGTCTTAGTTTTAACCTCTTTTGCTGACAAGTCTTTTTAAAATATGCTGACTTTGTGGTATATGATTCTATAGGAGGCCAGAAGAACCTCCAAATTCAAACAATTGGTTGCTGGTTATTTTTAGTAAAATACGCTGCCCTGTTCTGCATTGTAAATATCTTTAGTGTCTTAAAGCATCTCAGAAACCTCAAAAATGGCATCAGTTGTAGGAATAACATATCATCACACATACATATACACATACATAAACATAGACACAGACATGTAAGTGTGTGTGTGTATTATATATACAATCGTATTTAAAAAAATAAAACCTAAAATTAGATCATAAAGGTGGAGTCTTTATGAATGGGATTAGTGCCTTATAAAAGAGACCTCACAGAGACCTGGAGCCCCTTCTACCATGTGACCACACAAGAGAAAGTCTGCAACCTGAAGGCAGCCCTCACCCAACCGTGCTGGCACCCTGATTTTGGACTTCCAACCTCCAGAACTGTGAGGAATAAAAGTTTGTTTCTTAGTACCACTAAGTTTATGGTATGCTGCTATAGCAGTCTGACTACACTAAGATAAGGATATGTCATATAAAACTCTTATCCGCATTAAAGTGTATATATTCAACAACAGGAAGTGACATGTGTCTCTCTGTTTTTGAAACCATTCAAAAAGAGAAGTGATTATATTCTCACTCATGGGATGTAAAGTACAGCATAGAGAATGCAGTCAATGGTATTGTAACAGCCATATATTATGTCAGAGGGGTAATAGATTGGGGGGTTTATCCCTTTGTGA